TTGCCACGGACACCCCTTTCATAAAGAAAATTATTAGAAATAAAGCATGCTGAACTGAGCAAGTTAATTAATAAAGTGATTGTTGTACAAGACAAAGTATGACATTCAATATTGGAGGATGGAATTTCGAATACATAAAGATTTTCAAATAAGTTGTCTTTATCTCCAGACTCCAGTTGTGAGCCTTTTCTTGACTAAATTTAATAAAACTTAAGATACTTTTCTTTATGAGTCGGTAAACAATGATATTTGTGACAGGCACTCTTGAAATGAAACGTATCCCAATTCTCGTTCAATACTGGTGATAGATTTTTCTTCAATTACTTTTCTGTGTCATACTTATTTCTCTAAGAATACCAAAGCTTCAATTTGTTCTTTTTAATGTTTTTGTTCGTGGAGAGTGGGGTGGGAGGAGGGGGCGGGTTACTATGTTGAGGCAGATTCAGAAGCTGAAGGATTAAAGAAATGGAGAAACCATAGAAGAACAACCAACTTATGTAGAAAAAACTATCAAATGAAACCAAAAAAAAACTAGAATAGTAAAATTCTGACCACATTACAATAAAACACCTAAAGGAAACAAACTAACATACTAAGTTAGCAGAGGAATTAATTCTAAAAATATCTTATCGTAACTAAAGTGACAAAAGATGCTAATAAGAAATAAAATACTCTTAAGCTCTCACAAGCTTCATTCAAATTCATTCTAAAAAAAGGACACTAATTAAATGAGTATTTATAGTTATGATAACCCAGGACCCAAATGTACAAATTCATTTAATAGTTAGCCTCTACCGAAAATGAGTTAAACAAGAGTTCTTGTCACAAGATTCCTTTGATTTAAGAAGATTAATTGGGCTTGGATTTCCTTGTTTGCTTCCTCCATAGTCTTCAAGGTGATGATACGAGATCCTTTGAGGTAAAACCGATGTAATTTCTTAGCTTGAATCCTCATAACTTGAAGGATTCACTTGACTTGTTCTAGCTTCCAGATGTGCATCATGTGCGCTAGTGTTTGATAAAAGTTTGATTACAGGAGTTCTGACCTAGGTAAACTGGAAACTGAGGCAATTTGAATATGTGAGAAGTTGATTTGTTTAGCGCCATTTTAGTTCTTAATTTTTTTAATCAATGAATACTTATCATTTCAAAAAGAAAGTTCTTAATGTTGGTTTCCAAAATGGGCATTATCCAGATTGATTACTCTATGCTAAACAAATTATTTCGATAAGCATAATAATGACCCTTTAAATTGTAACTATGTGCAGATAAACAGATATGCATTCTCAGGTGGACGAGACTCAATTGAGTTGCACAGGAAGTACGGAGCAAACCTGGAGGTAACCAAATTTATATGAATCCCATAGCTAATTCGTAGGATGGAATGCATTTCTATTAAATGACTGTACACGCTTGAATATATCATCTTGTAAATGCAATTTATCTCCGCCTGTTTTCATCTCTGTTGGATCAATATATTTAACTTTGTACCATCTTAGCCATGGAAAAAAAGTCAGCAAACTAAACCTCTTGTCTTGGATACTGTGCAGGTTGATATACCATTTAAATATCTTGGCTTTTTCCTGGACGATGATGCAGAGCTGGAACACATTAGAGAGGTTAGTATTCATGCTTTCCCTTGGTGTTTCTTTGCTATCTCAAATTTGCATTTGTAGAACTCCAGCTTTTAGCATTCAATTCAGTCCATGCATGGACTACCGGCAGATTATATTACCAATAATACTCATATGCTCAACTTTCAGGAGTATGGTTCGGGCCGTATGCTGACAGGTGAAATTAAAAAGAGGCTAGTTGAAGTTCTAACAGATCTAGTTGAAAGACATCGACGGGCTAGGGCAGCAGTGACTGATGAGGTAACTAACAGTAATTTTCGGTGAAACCTAAAATAGCTAGACTTTCTGAATTTCAAATTACTCATTCTCCATGTTGAATTGCCTTGGATTATCAATCAACTTGTCCCGACTATGTCTTAATTTCAAATGACATGATTTTCTCTTTAGTAACCAAGAGATTCAAGCTTGGTCTGCTAGCTTAAGTGACACAAAACGATTAAAATTAGCACCAAATCTCCATTTTCTTTATCTACATGCCTTACCAACTCATTATTGCTGAGTCGTGCTTTCAATTATTCTTCCTAGCATAATTCATTAATTATGTTAATGGTGTGCTGGGTGAAAGCTGGTCCTAGCATAAAAAAAAGATATGCCGAGGGTGTGAAGGTCTCCTCTTATGAGCATGACAGTCCATCAGGAATTATTACCTCTTTTTCGAGGTACTCTCAGGGAATTAAGAAGAGGAGGGAATTGGAGGGTTCTGCTTTTTCCAAGTGTTCTTTAGTACCTGTTTTGCTTGTCCAAATTACTGGATGTCTGGTCTCCTTTCTATGCTCGTCTCGTTTAATAGTTTTTTCCTTTCCTCTTCTGTTTCCAATTTGATTAATTTATTTACTTGTTGCATGGTCTTTTCTGCAGATGGTAGATGCTTTCATGGCTGTCAGACCACTTCCTAATATGTACAATTGAATGAGCAAAGTATAATTACTTCTGGATGTTTAATTCTTGAGGCTCATTATTATTTTCCATTTACTGAGGTTTTTCTTCTTTAATTGTAACTGTTTTTTTTTTGTTCTTTCCTGTAGTTTGTTGCTCGTTATTGTAACTCAAGTTATGCTCACAAGAACAATGTCAAGAAGATGGATTTGTGGTAGATTGAACATGATTTATTTTCTCACTTGTATCCCTTTTTTGTCTGGTTCTTCTCTTGGTTTATTTGATTGTCTGGAAAACATTTTCCTGCATGTACACTAATTGCTGCAATTACAAGATGCACATCCTGGACATGTTAAAAATGGTTTTGCAGACGTGTATTAGAATGTTCAGATCTTAAAAAGACAAAGTTGTCCTATTTTTCAGTTGGTTGAGGTTAACTATGTATCAATAACTGATAAATCGATATACTAAAAGTGAACATCTCATGTAATAAAAACATAAATTTATAAAATACAATAAAATCAAATCTCCCGTTATTTTAAAGCAAATTTTTGACAATAAGATTAGTTTTCAAAATTCTTTATTTGAATAATACATGAATTAAAAAACTAATAAAATAAGGTAAATATTATTAACTACTAAAGAGATTAGTATTAACATGAAATAAATTTGGGTTGGAGGTCTATGAAAGCAAAGTCCATCAGAGAAATTAAAACCTCTTGATCATTGGATACTCCGGAGTACTATATTTAACGACATCAACTTTCTACTACTAGCATATTTAAGCCATGTACTTATGAAGAGAAAATGACATAAATAGTTTCTTAACTATAGTAGTAGGTCTAAAATGGTCCCTTAACTATACACTTAACGGATTTAGTTCTTTAACTATTCAAAAACTTATTAGCTTTGGTCCCTTAACTATAAACTTATTTAATTTAGTCCTTCAAGTATTCAAAAACTTATCAGGTTTGGTCTTTGTCCATTTTTTTAAATACAAATAGCTTAGGCTTATATTAACAGAATTCATGCCTCGAGAAATTAAATCCTTTAACAATTTTTGTTGTTGTTTATCTCTCTCCGCTACTTTTTCTTCAAATTAACCTTATGCGAAGAACCTTAACCTCAACGATTTAAAAATAAAATTTACGAGGAAAGAAATATAAGTCATAATTTTATTCAACAGAGGATAAAATGAAGAATATTATTGCTACTAAGGACTTGAATATGCTAAACTGTATTATAGGAGCGGGGGTTTTACCCTGTGCGCACCCAAAGGGTAGCGGCTGCGGGTTTCCCTTGTCATAAAAAAAAAAAAAAAAAAAGAATTTTTTTTATTACCCGTTAAATTCAAAGTTTGTACTCCAACGACTTCATTGAAAGGAATTTGTTTAATTTTTCAAAAATTTAAACTTATAAAATGGTAGATTTGCAACTTTTTTTTATTTTTTTAAATAGATCAATTTTATTATTCTATTCATTTTATTTTACGTAAAGAAATTTGAGTAACTTAAATAAAATCCGCATTGATTAGCATATTCAAGTGCGGATTTAAGTCGTTAACAACAATTATATGCTTAATTTTATCCTCCATTGAATAAAATTGGAACTTATATCTTCTTTCCTCATTAATTTATTTTGAATTGTTGACATTATTGTTCTTTTCATAAGAGTAGTGTGAAGAAAAAGGGGTTGGGATAGAGAAACAACTTAAAAAATAGGTTAAAGATTTTATTTCACGAAGATTTTCATTAATATAAACCTAAACTATTTGTATTAAAAAATGGATAAAGACCAAACTTGATAAGTTTTTAAATACTTAAAGGACTAAAATCGGTAAGTTTATAGTTAAGGGACTAAAATCGATAAGTGTATAGTTAAGGACCAAAGCTGATAAGTTTTTGAATAGTTAAATGATTAAATCCGTTAAGTGGTATAGTTAAGGGACCATTTTAGACCCACTCCTATAGTTGAGGGACTATTTATGTCATTTTCTCTACTTATGAATATTGTAAGATTTTTTTTTCTCAACCCGGTGTTCAGAGCCCACATTGGAGCTCCGACTAAATTCGGATTGTGCTTTGCAAGGTCCATTTGGGGGTGACGCTCCCAACATGATTTTTTCCATACCAGGCTCGAAACCAAGACCTCTGATTATGAGTGTAGTAGTCTCACCACTGCATCACAATCCATATTGGTAATATTGTAAGATTTTTGTTTAATCTGTTTCCTCATACACTAAAAAAAAAGTTACAAAAATAATTTAAAAAATAACATTTTCATATGTTATATGAAAAAATAAATTATTTTTATATTTTTTTTTACTTATAATCTTAAAAATAAATTGTAAATAACCTACAAAATTAATTATGTGATCAATGTTGTGGCAAAAAGGAAAAATAAATACCTAGAAATAACAAAAAAGATCAAATTTGCTCATAAGTATAACTTATGAAAAATAGATCATTATACTCTATGTTATATCTCGCCATTATTCGGAGAGACTACAAATACCTTTCAATATACGAAAACCCGAGTTTCGCAAGAGAAAACATCTGCTCAGCAAACCCTATGCCTGTCTCTGGTACAGAGGGTTGCTTACTCGCAAATCTTCATCCGATTCAACTAATTTGGGTTTCCATTATTGGACTGTGAAGAAGAAGAAGAAGAAGAAGAAGAAGCAGAAGCAGAAGAAGAAGAAGAAGAAGAAGAAGAAGAAGAAGAAGAAGAAGAAGAAGAAGAAGAAGAAGAAGAAGAAGAAGAAGAAGAAGAAGAAGAAGAAGAAGAAGAAGAAGAAGAAGAAGAAGAAGAAGAAGAAGAAGAAGAAGAAGAAGAAGAAGAAGAAGAAGAAGAAGAAGAAGAAGAAGAAGAAGAAGAAGAAGAAGAAGAAGAAGCAGAAGCAGAAGCCATGGGAGAAAGGAAGGTTTTAAACAAGTACTATCCGCCGGATTTCGATCCGGCAAAGATTCCTAGGCGAAGACAGCCAAAGAATCAGCAGATGAAAGTGCGTATGATGCTTCCAATGAGTATTCGTTGTGCTACTTGCGGTAATTACATCTATAAGGGTACCAAATTCAATTCCCGCAAAGAAGACGTCGTTGACGAGGTAATTCCAATTTACCCCTTTATTTTTGCAGTTGTTGCTAATCTTTCAATTTTGGGAATTTGGGGTTTGTGTATATGTACTGTTCAACTAATATTCTGATGGGTTTTGTGAAATTTTGTGAGAACTATGTTATATGGGTGGTGAACCTTAAATTGAAAGTTTCATGAGTATATGATAACCTATGTTGTGGCTGAGATTCTTGTTTGGTTCTAGAATTGTGTAACTGTTGATGAGAAGTTCGGACTTGGCATGGGAATAAAACGGATAGTTGAACTGAGTTATGGGGATAGTGGTTGCATCAAATATGTACCGTGTTTAGGCAAATTGTTGTTGATTAAAACTAGTTTTTCCACTGTTTTGGTTAAGCAATACATTGCTTCTTCTGTGCTGCTAATGTTCTTAAATTTGTAGATTATCCAATAGCAACCATTAACATCTACGTTTTAATTTCTTATTGTAATCTGCAATGGTTGCTATCTTATTTCCCAGTTATAGTTATCTCTTAGGTGACATGATATTATGAAAAAGATGTAAAGCATGTGGACAAACCTGTCAACAATATCAGTAAAGAGCTCAAGTTCATCCAAGTACCATAAAAATCATAGATGTCGTCAATTATTGTGAGACGAACAGAAAGCTTTGTTGAAAGCTTTCTGCAGTATCCGAACCGAGGATTAGTAGTGAAACCAACAGCCCAGAAAAAGCCCACCACCATCTTTACCTCACAAAGGTCATCTTTTTAACAAGTTTAATGTTCTTGTCCCACCTGCAAAACATATCCCCAAGTGAAATTCTCAGTATTGAAAGGATATTATAATCAAAACTAATGTGTTTGATATGCCAGTCTTTTTTCGGGGGAAATTGTATCTAATGAGAGTCATTTTCTGGCATTCCTTACAACTATCTTAATTTTTTTTTAACTTCACGTTCCTTCTTCCAATTAATAAGTAGACATTATTAATCTTTTTTTACTACTCAAATTCTTCATTAAAACACTTTCCGACTTGCTATTAATAATCTTGTACATATGTATATAATTTTTGGAAAATATTTTCTAGGAAAATAGGTGGATTTCGTACTTATGTAAGCAAAGAATATTATCCTACAAATATTTGTATATAATCTAGATAAATACTAGTGAGGCTTGGGGGGTTAGGGCGGGTTGAAAATGAGGCGGGTTTAGGGTGGTGAAGACGCAATCATTGTGGAATGTGACGAGTGGAACATGCTTTCTCTGTTTCCACTAGGAAAGTCATTTGCCTTGTTTCTGTTGCAAGGAAATGGCATAACTCTCAAACTATGAACTAATTTTCAACTACAAAATGCCCCGCCAGGAAATTCTGTAGATTACAATTTACATCCTTTTCATACTATCATGGCACCTAAAAATTTGTATGTTATCCAATAGCAACCATTACTTCTTAATCATTCATTGTTCAGATTTAGAGACAACATCTTGATATTCAAATGTGTATTCAGGTTCAGACGTTTTAATCTTAATGCACATCTTTATTTTCTGATGTATATTCAAATTCATACATCTTTTTCTTAATGAAAACAAATGCACATCTTAATATTTAGATGTGTATTCAAATTTGGATGTCATAATCTTAATGGAAACAAATGCACTTCGTAATATTCTGATGTGTATTGAAATTTGGATGTCTTAATCTTAGTGGAAACAAATGAGAACTTAATGACTGAGATCTGAATGATTAAGATTCAACCTCCATTTAGTGCAAACAAATGAGGTCTTACTCTGTAATGGACATGTTCCAATATATGCGTGTGTGTTTGTATGTTCTTGACCTGATTTGTAATCACGTGTCAAATTATGCAGACCTACTTGGGAATACAAATTTTCAGATTCTACTTCAAGTGCACAAAGTGCTCCGCAGAGATTACTTACAAGACAGATCCCAAGAATTCCGATTATACTGTTGAATCAGGTGCAACTAGGAATTTTGAGCCTTGGCGTGGCAAAGATGAGGTTAGAATTTTATCGTCTTGTCTTCATCATAAAGAATTATATCAACTTGTTGTTGTATTCATATCCAGCACTTCCTTTTGTAGAGGAAAGAGCGTGAACCTTATGTTTGATATAAAATATTTCGTTTTTTCATTTTTCAGGTTCCAGTATCTTGTGCATTCATATTTATGTTTTCTTTTTTCTTTTTACTTTTAGGAAATTGAGAAGGAGAAACAAAAAAGAGATGATGAAGAAATGGGCGATGCAATGAAGTCATTAGAAAATAGAACATTGGATTCAAAGAGAGAAATGGATATTCTTGCTGGTTTAGATGAAATGAAATCTCTGAAGGTGAGTCCTGAAGTTTCTTCTTGAGTAATTTTTGTTTTTTGCCTTGCTACATTGCTGTGGTGTATATTCTGTTTTCGTTTCTGACAATTTTCCTACTTTTTAAACCCCAACTTTTTCAGTCAAGGCACGCAACTGTGAGTGTAGATGCAATGCTTGAAGCTTTGCAGCGGTCACATGAGTCAAAGGTATGATGATGTTTCTTACTGTTTTCAGGTCTGATTAGGAGTGAAGATTTTCTCCCTGATGACTAAGTGTTCAGTATCATCTCATGTCTGTTGATTGGTTAATTTAGAGAACTTCAAATTTCCTATATAAAGTTGCTGGATGTATAAACTTCTTTAGACACAGAATATGGATTTCACTTGAGGTCAGTCATGACCAAAGCTTTCAAAAGAAATTGTTGTTTATCAGATCAAATCAATATGCTCCCCCACTATTCAAATTCTATGTGCTGAATGATATAGCCCTTTTAATTATGAATCAAATCACAGACTAAACTTTTCAATTTACTTCATTCTTGAACACCATCTTTTATTAGATATTGTGTAACTCAAGCTCAAGACACCTGTTCAAAACAGTAACAGAAAAAAAGAAGAAGATAGAACAGAATTACTTAAATTAAAAATAAAGGATTGTTTTTTGTGAAATCACACATTTTGAAGTCTGATTAGATCATTCGAGGTGTTTAATTGTTAGTGGAGAATCATAGAGAATTTTAATTGAAATTGATAAATGTAAAAGCAAAATATAAAAAAGAAATTTAAACAAAGAAAAAACTAGAGTTGATGTGTTTAGGTTGAATTTTGGTCACTCTTATCCTAACTGTATATTTTGGAGTTCTTTTGGTAAATTTGATTGTGGACTTTAAGGTTCCATTTTTACTCTACATGCAAAGAACGTTAGCTTGGAGATGATGTTGGTGTTTGTTCTTAGGAAGCACCAAAAGTATCTCTAAATCTTGTAAGGAGTATGGAAGAAAAAATAATGACTTAAATGAAAGGCTATTCAGGATGATGAGAATAATCACGAGTGGTAAGCTCTAATAACTAATTATGAGAATCTGTTGACGTACCTTTTTATAATTAGTTGCCCAGTAATGTGAAACATTTGACTGCCTGCCTGCCTGCCTTCTTTATCATATTAATGCCAATCACCTTTACAGGAAAAAAAGATGGAGGAACAAGATGAAGCTCTCATAAGATCAATTTTCCAGGTTGGTAAATCATAGTCTGAATAACTATTATTAGTTCATAGGTGTACTTCTAAATTCTGATAGTGTAAATTTCTTAGCAAGTTTTCTTGGCCTTTTAATTTCAAATCAGGGATCAAGAGAGACTGTCAAAAGAATCAATGATGAAGAACTTGAGGATGATGACGACGACAACTTGGCTTTCTTTACCCCTGAAAGTGCAGGGTCAGAAAACAACTCTCTAAAGGTACAAGTGCCTGGTTATCTAATTCAGTTTTCCAAATTCCAATTATTATATTGCCATCAACCCACTTCCGTACAACACAGAAATAAATAATTAAAATGGCAGCATCTACAAAATGATTAGTCTCCTTTACGTTGGACCTGCCATATGTCTGATATACAACTAAAGAAAAATAGAAAAATACAATGTAAATCCATAAATTAGATTACAGTTTTGTTGGGAGCAGCGCATCTACTGTTAGACTTAAATCTAAATGCAATATCATGTCTTAACCTTCTTTTTGTTGTTCCTTTTTAACACTATGCTTATTATTGTTTAAATGCAGAAGAGAAAGGTTTCCGAGGAACCTGATGAAAAGCCCACGAACTTTTTGACGAAAGCCAGCATTAATGACAGCTCTAAAAACAAAGGTAGGCTCAGTTTATTTATCTGATTCTCTTCTGAGGGTTTCATTGCTTCCCATTATACCAACATCCTTGTATGACTTTTGGTGGATGAAATGTTATAAACTCTTCAATGATCGTAGAATTCGTAGGTTTTACTTGGGGAAAAGTAGTAATAATGGTCGTCTTTACTTTTTTGGGACATTCTGATAGAAAAGCTTCTGAGGGATCTCTAACCCTATCTTCACGACCTATCTTACAGATAAAGCATCAGCAGGTGAGAGTAAAATCATTTTGAAGTCCTCATCAGTCAAAATATCCATAGTCAAGAAGCCAGTCTCGAACTCCAACAGCAAGCAGACAGTAGAATTTAACAAGCAAGACGCGCAGAGCACTGGTGCTGCGACAAGCAGTGGTCTACTCTCGTTAAGTCAACAATATGATAGTGATGACGATGATTGATTTAGTGATCCCTTCAACCTCTATTTGTCCAGATATATCCGCCAAAACTATTAACCGCGGGTGTGATTTTCATCGGGTATGCTCTTCCTATGGACACTTGAAATGTATGCAAGCTCAAGCTTTGGCTCTCTGCGAACCACCCCGTCTGTCAGTATCAATTGGGATGTATACGTTGCATTTTTACATATTTTATAACTATCTCAATGGTTCAAGAAAACAGTTCCTCCATTGTTAATGCAAAACATCTCTCATTATACTTTGCCTTCTTTAATTTCCTCCTTTCTAATTTATGTCTTATTCTATAGTTAGTCGTTAATAAAATGATTTGCAGCTAAATTTTTTATGGCTTATGTTAAGACTACAATCCACTAGTGGATTACTTTGGGTATGTTGTCGTTGTAGGTTAGACCACATGTTCCAAGAAAAGAACTCTTATTTCCATTCAAACATACATAAATTGAGATGGAGTGAGTATTATTTTTATCGGCATTTCTAGTAATTTCCAAAATAACCTAGAAAAAACTGAAGCTTTCGTAATCATATTTTGTTGAAAGTGAAAGTCTGGAGTGTGCATCAATCTATTTGGTTTGGTTTTATGTATTATCGATTTTCGATTTTTAAATATGTTAAATCAATAACTAAACTAATAAGATATTCTATATGGGTTCTCAATTTATTGGTTTTGATCCTTAATGGTTTGATTTTACCAATAAAAAATGATCATAAAATAATTACGTAACTTCCAATAACTTGGTGCGACAAGACAATAATGTAACTTTACAAATGCTCATATAAAGTGACTATGTAACATGAAAAAAAAGAAGTTGTACAAGTGCAACATAAATAAAAGGATACTGTGAATTGAAGGCAAAAAGGCAAAGGTAGCTAGTAACGGATAATATATTTTATAGGGGCAAAGTAGTATATTACTATTGTTTTAATGGGTTATTCAATACAATAACATTTTTTTCGATTTGATTTTTGCCCACCATTTTTAAAACATAAACCTGTGCCAATCCAACCGGGCTATTGTTGGCATATCCAAGTAGTCCGACCCGACAAAGTCGGAAACCCTAGCCACCACTGTTATTCTTCTCCATAACATACTATATAAATGCCCTTACAACCCTATAAAAATTCCGCCCCTTTGTGAACCTCAAAAGCTCCAGATAGCGGAACTTGAAGAATTCCCCTGTTAATTTTGTTGCTGTTTAGGTAAAATTGTTCATCAGCTTGTTTTATATTAGATAGATTTATGTAAAGAAAAGGTGACCAATTAGCCAGTCACACACACATCGGCTCGCCGATGTTCTACTCCGTGTGAATGGTCAGTATGTTACCGATAGTAATATCAATGGTGTTTGATAGTCTTATACTGGTGAACTGCGTTTATTCCGCTTTCACCGACGAGGCTATTCCCATTACATTCATTCGATTTCTATGCATGAAATTTGAAAATTGGGTATACAAGTTGCAGCAAACATCACTTGAATCTAATAAGATGATTCACAATATCGGTAGAACAGATTTCACTAGTTATTAGGATATAGCCATGGATGATCAGGTGGATATTGTATGAAGGCCGCAATAGAAACTTTTTAGATTCGTAAGGCCTGTAACATTTGAGATTTTCTTAAAACAATCTAAAATGAAATAAAAAAATATTGACTATAATTAAATATTGTAGACGTTATTTTTTCAAATTGACTTGTAAAATTACACTAAATATTATTATTGTTATATGATACAACATCAATCAACTAAGAATCCAACATTTAGGCCTAATTCTTGAAATTTCCAAATTTTACCAATTTAGATAATCCCAAAAAGTGGTGTTACTACATTCATTGATGAAATACTTTTTTGGATGAGACTATGAATGACCTACATTTTTCTATAAAAAAAAAAGATTTTACTCAACGTGGACAAGTTATAGTAAACTTTAATTTAAAATATTAACTACCAGTAATACAAGCAGACAAATTTAAGAGTCTACAAAAATATTTCATAAAGCAAAAGACACTTCGAATCAACAAGAGAGGGGCGGGGCGGGTGCCCGCACACGCATAAACCTGCAAAGTCTTTACCCCGCTCCGCTTTTGGAAAAATTGTATGAAATAACAAATTATTAATTCAAATTAAATGTTATATCTATAGTTTATTTTAATTGTAATTTGCAGCAACATTCCCTTTTTTTGACATTTGATTTGGTATACAATTAGTCATTTTATATATTTCGATATAAAATATATAAAAAACGTTTGTGTTTGTATAAAACGAGAGAAAAATGTATATATACAAATACAAATGTATATATTTTCGTCATATACACTTATAATTATATAAATGCATATTTTATTATACAAATTACAATTTATAAATTGAATTTATACAAAACTGAACAATTTGTATAAAATTGAATGTTTGTAGCGAATTATACAAATCAAAAGCTTCATAGCAAACATAAAATTTGCTATGGAGTGCAATTATGCAAACTATAGCTATAACATATAAATATGATTTTTATGTTTGCTATATGTGAAAGTTGCTCGTTATTTTTTTCTTGCCCCACCCCGCTCCACATGAACCCGCCCTGCCCACAACTTGTGGTGGAGTGGTAGTCCTTCATCCTTAACCAAGAGGTTTCAGGTTCGAGTCTCCTTGGGTATGGAACCTCAATGTGGGACTTTCGATTGTGAGTTCAAATTTAATCGAGTTCCAATGTGGATACCAAACACCGAAGGAGAATAGAAGAAATGGAAAAGAATAATATCCAAGAAATAGTACCCCTGTATATACATACGTTAAGAAAAATGTTGTAATGTCTAAGTAACCATGATAGTACTTTTTTTTATCAAGTAAATATAAGACTTTGGAGCGGAATAGTGGAGAAGCACACTCAAGTAAAAATATGAAATTTCTCTAAAATAAAATATTCTAATTAAAAAATATAAATAACTTATACAGTTATACTCATATTTAATTATAAAAAAGAAAAACTATTTATTTCTTACATTCTGTTTTTAATCTAATGGGTCATAAAAAGAGAAATAAATGGAAATAAATTGAGTATGTAATTATAGATATACTTCATTATATATGTACATATTTTTAAAAAATCTATCTAAATAGAAAGCTTATCAAGCTATTTTTTGTGTAGAACTTTTTATTATAAAGGTTTAGATATTTGACATCAAAATGTGTGTATATAATTCATATTATAGGGATATTTTTAATGTTATTTTATCCAACATTATGTCAATCACCCATAAAAAATGTACTTAATTAAAAAGCTAATCCTTTCTTAATAAGAAGTTCCATTTTCAGCTTTGGATCTGAACCTTTTTTTTCTACAAAAAGCCTTCTACCTATGAGTTTCGTAAATTTAAATTAGTTGAACTTTAATCCAAAAAATACTTAATTCTAATTCATAGCAGATTTGTGTTAGTCTGATTTACCCGAAATTCATGAACCGACTTACCCGATCCGATTAAATCCGGGTTACTCATCTATCTATAAATTAGGGCAAATAAAGGTTCAGATATTTTTCTCTTCTCTTTCCAGCGAAGATGTACAACGGAATCGGCCTACAAACGCCGCGAGGCTCCGGCACCAACGGCCACATCCAGACCAACAAGTTCTTCGTCAAGTCGAAGACGAACAAAGTCCTTGTAGACGGCGGCAAAGGTTACGAGTCCGGTCAAGGAACTGCCGGAGTGTCGAGGAAAGCAAACAAGGACATTCTCGAACATGACCGGAAACGGCAGATTCAGCTCAAACTTCTTGTCCTTGAGGAGAAGCTTGCCGATCAGGGATACACTGATGCTGAGATCTCCGAGAAGCTCGAGGAAGCGCGAAGGAATCTAGAGGCAACATCTGAGGAATTTGGAGGACCTACCTATGAAAAGTAATTTGTTTTTCTGAATTGTAGTTATAATTTTTCCACAATATGCGCATTGGATCAGTTTTTGGTTATGAACTAGCTAATGAATTTCTGGATTTGACTGATTTGATGCTGTTATCATTCGTCTTTAGAGAATTTGCTATGTATTATATTTGGAGCCACCAGAGTTGATAAGGAAATAGAAATATGATAAGTACAAGGAAATTGGAGAGGGAAAAGAAGTGTTGTTATTACTTACAATTTTGTGATGCTTTTTTTTAGGTCATATTTTTTGTTGTTTTGTTTTTGATCGGACTATGGTACTATTTTGAGAAGTTAACATCTTTTTGATTTAGTAGGCTTTTTAAGGAGATAAAAAATGTTGTTTGCTTTCATTTAGTCTCGATGAGAGGAAGTGGGAAATGTCAGTTTAGCAGGATGAACTATAGAATTTGGATACAGATATGAGTAAGTCTGGTTGATTCTTGTGTCCTCTTAACGTTAAATTTCTACCCGGTTTCAAAAATCAGGACTTAATTTGTTTGTTTTTTTCAGTCTTTTTATAGATACTGTGAGGTTGATATGCAATAACTAAACTTGTTCATTCCAGGGTTTCGGAAACACAAACACACCAGATTGCTGCTTTGAAAGAAAAACAAATGGAAAACTTAAAAGCTGCTCTCAAGATAGGGGATGAACACGAGACTCAGAAGCAGCAGCATGATGCTTTAGCTCATTTTGAAGAGGGTGAAGTTAATGACTTGGCAAAAGAGAAGGACGAGGGTAAGCGTCATAAAAAAAAAGAGAAGAGAAGAGGACGTGACAATTCTTCTGACACTGACAGCAGTGAAAGCCATGCCAAAGAGTCTAAAAAGATCCGTAAGAAGGCTCTTGCTAGTTCTGATTCTGATACTGCTGGTGGTAATAAGTCAAGAAAGTTGTCTGTCAAGGGCAAGAAGGCTAGAAGGCGGCATCACAGTGATGATTCATCGTCTGATTCTGATTCTGACTCTTATTCAGAGTCTGATCATGAGAAGAAACAGGTGAAAGTCCATAGGAGACATTTTGTGGGTGATGATGATGGCCGTGATGCAAAAACCATTAAGCTTCAACAGGGTAGAAGACATGATTCTGATGAGGATGACCATGTCAATGACCGTGATGTCAAAAACAAGACGATTCAGAAAGAGAAAAGACATGTTGCTGAGGATAAATATGATGATGGTCGTGATGCTAAAAACAAGACCTCACAAAGAGGTAGAAGACATGATTCTGATGAGGATGACCATGACAATGACCGTGATGTCATAAACAAGATGATTCAGAAAGAAAAACGACATGTTGCTGAGGATAAATATGATGATGGTCGTGATGCTAAAAACAAGAAGTCACAAAGAAAACACTATTCTGATGATGATGGTGGTGGTGATCCTGATGTAAAAATCAGGAAGATTCAGGAAGGGAGAAGACATAACTCTAAAGCTGAGTATGTGATTGATGGATCAAGTGCTAGTCAGGAGTTGTTGCGGGGTAAGAGAAAACTAGACGATGAAAGCCTGGATCAACGTGAGGGGAAGTCAAGGAGGAAATGACAATGATGATGGTCGTGATGCTAAAAACAAGAAGTCACAAAGAAAACACTATTCTGATGATGATGGTGGTGGTGATCCTGATGTAAAAATCAGGAAGATTCAGGAAGGGAGAAGACATAACTCTAAAGCTGAGTATGTGATTGATGGATCAAGTGCTAGTCAGGAGTTGTTGCGGGGTAAGAGAAAACTAGACGATGAAAGCCTGGATCAACGTGAGGGGAAGTCAAGGAGGAGAGATTCTAGTAAAGACGAAAAGTATTTAAGGGCTGATACTGAAGCTGAGAACCCAAATAGGTCATACAGGAGTACAGAGGATAGGAGTAAAGATCAACAGACAAGAAGATCTGGTGGAGAATATGAAGGTAATGATGGAGAGCGTGAAAATAAGATTCAGAGTGGGAATGAGCTGCAACGTGAAAGCCAACGGGAGAATCGAGATTATGAAGTGCGTGGACAGGAGAGAAGAGAAAGCAGGGATGATGACCGCTGGGAAAGGAAACACAAAAGAGATGAAGAGGAAGATCAGTACCGGAAGCATGAGAAAGAAGGGGAATCTCAGCGTGGAAGGCATGAACAGGAGGAGGAGCATAGAAGCAGAATGCGTGATAGTTACAAAGATCATGATTCATACAAGAGGGCTAGACATGATGATTCACATTCTAGTGGAAGGAGAAGATATGACGATGAAAAGTATGCTGATAGGCAGACTAGGCGGTGAAAGCTGCTCTATAGATATTGTTTTATGTCGGAAGATCAATAGGTGAGTTCAAACTTGAGATAACTTGCCTTGTTCTTTACGGGAGAGGTCCCTTAAAAATGAATTTCATAAAGAAACTCATAATTGATTATGGTTTCTTTTTTATTAATTATGTACTGCTTAATTACTTGCAAAGTCCTTCCACTAACAAAATATTCCCATTTAAACTATGTACTGCCCAGGTATAAAAAATATACTGCTAGAAGTGAAAACTGAAGTGTCCTTAGAAAGTAAAAAGAAGACATTAGAACTTTGCTGACCTTAAATTTCACTGACAGCTTCAATCAAATGGGATAGTCACTTTCTGCTTACATCTGGGGTCTTGGTTTTTACATATGTTATAGTATATGGGTTTACATCCCCGTTTGGTTTTTCTTCCAATAAATTTTAAAAAGATGTCCATGCTTTTCATGGAAACTGGAGCGTTGATCATACCAAGCTGCCATTACCATTTGAGTGGACAATTCTTCAATTTCAAAATTGCCACTTGAATCTTGAAAGAAACTTTAATTGTGCATTAGTGGATGAGCCGTTGAAAAGAAAGGTAGTTTTTTTCCTCTTTGGCAGGTGTTTTGCTACTATTTAGGGGTGTTTCTTATTCGAACTTAGCTAATCTGTGAGGGAATATAACTGCTGGTCAAGGCAAGGGTAAATTCCCAAGGCAATGAGGAGTAGAGAAATTGGTGCTAAACTGGAATGTATGTATATATTTGAACAAATGATTCCTTTATTGTTAATCAACACCAAAAAAATGATAAGAGGCTCTTGTTTTCTTTGGCCAGATTCCTTACACCTACGTTAGGATTGTTCATTATATCCCCCCTTTCAAACTGATTATATCGTTGGGCTCCAATTCTCTTACAATTATGACACAACGATTCGAAGATTTATGGTTACTGCATTGAACATGCTCTTTTCCAAGTGCGCTATGTTTCAGAATGAAGCTTAAAAAATGTGCGCATTTATTTATATCCTTTAGAAGAATTACATTATGTGATTGGCTGACATCCTCACAATTTGTTTTATTTGCCCGTTTCAGCAGCTCAGTGGAGGGGAAGAAGTGGCTGATGTCTGGAAAACAAGCATAAAGAGGCATAGTTTGGTGAGCTGTCTAGTATCAAAGGGATATGTGTGGGGTTTAGTTCTCGAAATACTCTGAAGTGTAGCTAAATGGGATTTTCCTGATGACCCTGAAATTGTTGTGCAAGGGTTGGCTGTAATAAGTTCTTTTGTTGTCATATCTTTGACTCTTGTATGATTTCTTATTTGGGAATGTGTGCTACATTTGCTTCCTTGTGTGAAGTGAGGTTCCAGGCTCATGTAGAACATGCATGTTTTTCCTTTTGGTGATTTTGATTGCAATAGATTCTGCAGAACATGTTTTGGAATAGATGATTTGGATGCATGTGGCTTGAGGTTTTCTATTAATGAGGATGATCGATCACACACGCTTAAAGCGTTTCTCTATCCTTTGCACAGACTTGCTTCATACTATGTCAAAAGCAGGTTGGTAGCTTCCCACCTCAAGAAAGTTCCCTCTCACTCAATTCTATAACATGTTCTAGGGCATCTTTTTCTAATAACAATGTTAGCGGCACTTTTGAGATGCTGCCTTGAAATTGAGTCTTGTCAGTTTCATTTGACTCGGGGCGTCAGGGACCCTCCAACAGAAACCTTGTCTTTTTTGTAGTCGATAAGTTCTTCCTCCTAAAATGTCTAGTCTACTCCGCAAATGTATGCAGTGAACAAACCACTCAAGCATTTGACATAGTATGAAGTTGCTTTTCTCTTAGTTTTGAGCTGTGACTTTGAAAGAAGTTCTTGGTAGGTAGCACTTACCTCGAATGTGCTCTATAGTTGGGCTCCATGTAAACATTGGATGGAAGCCAATCTTTTTTTAGTTACTTTCATGAGAAGTATTTTCTGAAAATGTATTTCATGATTATCGATTTGAGGGTGGAAAGTACTTTTGAAATGAATATATATTATATATATATCAAAGATTGATATTAGGTATTTTGATTGAACTTTTGAGGACTAGGGAATAGGGATAATAGTAATGTCTGAGCGTCAGATGGAACAAGTTATGCGAATTAAAAGTTAAGATAATTATAGGTAAAAAAGGTCATTATTAGGAAATCATTTTTCCTCTTTGATGAAATATTTTACTCAGATCAGACCCCTATTCTAAAGACATTCGTTTTCTATTTCCAGAGTCCTAATGTCACTTTGAAATTTTTTGGTAAAAATAATGATTTCACTAAGGGAAGATAGACATATTGTACAAAAGAAAGGAATATCAAATGGGCGGCTTAAACTTCAGCCATGGAAGGATGAAGTTTCGTACATTTAATATACATACATAAAATACATGCCGAACCAACTTGTGCACACCTAAACTAGTCCACGGGCGAAGTCAGGAAGCTGAGTTGAAGCTTGCCACATCATACAAGTACAAGTGTCTGGTAAACTTGTCCACCAAGATAGGAGCAAATGTGCTCACATGTAGTATTATAGCTAGAGGTGTCCTCGCGGAGCCATAAATGTAGTTAACTTACTCAGGTACAAAAGGGGTTGGTTCACGACAGAGATTTCTGATATTGTCGAACCCAGTTATCATAATCCTGAAGCAGTTGTTGCAATAGCAACGGTACTAGCCTGTCCACTAAAGCTTGCATCATTCTGTGTAAAACGTGATTCACCATTAGGATTGAGAATTTGAGATGAAGTACAAAAGTTACAGAAATAGGAAATAGAATTTGATTTTAAACATGATCATTGTGTATGAAAATTATGATGGCCGTTTCTATTTTGCTATAGAAATATCATTTTGAAAATGGAAATGAAATGTCTGCAAAGTGCAGAACTATGTTTATGCAATAATAAAAGAGTGTTCAACTGAATTGGTCACCATTAAAACTAGTACCAAATCTATGAAGACCTCTATGTTCATTTATACGCTGATAAGCTGAAATTATCAAGAAAAAGTGTCACTGCTAACTGGTCATGATCAACTTATCTTCTGGAGCGAAGGGAATTATAGATAGAACTTGGCAAATGGAAACATGCAGACGTACTGAGGTTCAATGAGATGGACTATTCTTAGTGCAAATGATTCCGAAGAACTGTATCTCTAAAATCTAGCAAGGACCACTCATGACCCTCGGATTCTTTGCTTTAATATGGACCTTGCTCTAAGAAAAATCCAGGCACAACAACACACACATATCAATAAACAGAGTGTTAATGTGTAATTTAAACTGCAATATTTGTTTTTATTACCATTTCCGATTACAGAGAGTAAAGACAGTGTAGCAATAGACTTACATGTTACCAGGACTCTCAACAGCAGAAGTAGGCAGCATGGTGAATGGCATCGTATATATCTGCAAGAACAATCTAAGGTGACGACTCCGATCTGAGGGTCATAATATTCAAGAAACTTCTCTTGTCAATATGATAATTGTACTGAAGTTGTAGATATTCAAAGGAAACATATCAAAAATACGTTTCACTGTGGCATGAAAATAATCTAGTCATTCAAATACATTTAGACCTCGGTTTTGTGAAGTGGAACAAAAATTTGAAGATTGATCGATCGTTCATGACCCATCAGATCTGGTTAAATCCCACATACCACGTTGTGATGTCACTATGCCTGACTCCAAGTCTACAACCAGATGGATCAGTGATATTTACCTTGGGAAGTTCAGACTTGAACAAAACAAGAAATTGTAACTTGAGAATTTACAGGGAGCACAGTTAAAAAGTTCATCCCTATTCCAATTAAGCCTTAACAAGTCAATGATGAGAAAAGTAACCTTAGATTCTATACATATATATGACACTATAAACATATAATGTGTTATCAATCTAACAATCTTGATAATAGGTCTTTTTGCTTCCTACTGTTTTATGGATGTCATGCTAAGAGTACTTTTCTCTGAATAGCAGGTCCCTCATAGAAGCATATCCAAAAGGCATAAATAAGCATAGATAACTAGAGAGGCGGCTATCATTCTACAGAGGAACAATATTTACTTTTCCTGATTACGTGGGTCAAGGGTTCAAGCCATGGAATCAGCCCTTGATGTGGTGTCAGGGTAAGGTAAGCTTCTACATGACACCCCCTTGGGGTGCCTTCCCCAGACCTGCATGAACGCGTGATGCTTCGTGCACCCTGCTGCTCTTTTAGTTAGGAAAAATATGCTACTGTAAATCATATATGAGGACAAGGAAGTACTCTCTTTATCCCTTGTTGTATGTATCTAAACATGCACGAGCATAAAGTGATGTTGTCCCAGAGAAATTCTAAGATGAAGAACCGGTGGCCTTTTGTTTCTGAGAAGCTTTTCTACATTTGTCAAAGGAGATTTTTCATGAAGAATAAGCATAAAATATTTAGGGAAGAGAGTGATAATAACCTCAAGAGATATATTCAATTTCACATCAACATCGAGGAAAGTCTGAGACCCAACTGTTTCCCACGTTATATGGTTTACCATTGATGCTGCAAGTTAAAAACACATTGCATGTGTTTAAACATGTAATTATAAATTATGATAAATATGTTACAAAAGCTCAGCTTCGTTCAATTTGATAAAAATTGTCATGCTCGAATGTTGTTTTGGTATACCTAAAAAGTGGTCATTCTGCTGCTCTACCAGATCAGAACCCTCAAACTGCAATGAACATCAGAATTTAGGATTATATATCTTCTTAAAGGATAGCTTAACTGTAAGAAACACAAATCTCAGATTTAAATGGAAAAAAAGAAGAAGATCCCAGGACATGTATCTCAATCGCAATGAGGGAGTATTAAGTTATATGTGGGGGATGCTAACGTCCAGAAGAAAACTGTTCTCTTGCATGTACAAAGACAGGGGAAATTAAACCTTAACTCACTCCTTGCTCCCCTCCTCTTTCTATCACTCCCTCTTCTCTAATGGTACTAACTACCTTAAAAGCAGATAGCTGCAAATGAGAACATTATCACTCTCTGTATCAATTGCATAACTGGCGATCATACAAACATGAATTCATAAGAAGTCTTCAGACAACTAAAGATCTACGAGCCTTTAGCTACCTCATGAAAGAAATCAATTAGAACCTCAATTGTGATAGAAACTTTTGAAGATTCTTGGTCTAGAAGAAACAGGTGTTGGACAGCACATCAGAGATACTAATTCCTTCGGTTTGGGTGATGTTTCCAGAATAAGGAGCCTTACCTTGCAAGACAACATCTCCACAGTGCAGTCTTCGCTGGTCGGGTTCACTTTTAGTGTCAAAACAGGGGCAACTTCAAAATTCAGAAGTTGAACTTGTGGAAGAGTACACCTGCAATTAAATCATAATCAGCAAGATCTTAGAACTCTTATATGGGATGAATAGGCTGCGGAGGACACATGAACAATTTTCTCTGATGAAGATTGGAGTATCTAATATCCATACATGAATGTTCCTGATTTTCAATCACCAAATAGAAAGGTACTAGCACTAAAGTAGTCAAATGCTCTCAGAGACTACAGGCAATTTCTATAATATGATTATTTGACAACTCCACTGAACAGTTCTATCCGGATCTCCTAATCTATGCTGCACTTTACCCTTTCTTTTGATGTGCCATATCTTTGATGGATTCCTCAACATACACGGAAAATATGCTAAACGTTAACCTTACATTGGTAACATATAAACTAATAAAAGTCTAAGACACAGCTCAAAGATTGCAATATAGTCCTTGAGGATTTCATATCTTCTCGGTTTACACACTTGTTTTCCAGGTATAGGCCGGTGGTTACCTTCTGGAACTGAAATCTGTTCTTCCAAATGCTTAGAGTACCTAATTAACCATATCATCTCCTCCGTTAAGGTAAATAGGTTAATTAATGTGTACTGATATCCACACACTAAAAGGGAGGAGAAAATTATTTTTACCCCAAGTTTGATTCTCTATTCAAGAAGCCAAGAAAGGGTTGCTAACCCCTTGCTTCTAAGTTCTAACTAAGAGTTGGGAGTTTAAGTCACAAGGGAGGTAAATATGACAAAACACTGTTAGGCCTCGGGGAAGGGGAATTAGGGGCTGGAGTTTACCAAACTAAAAAAGGTATCTTTATTTAAGAAAATCAATCATCTGACATCATCTACTCAAGGTTGACAAATTCTGGTCATCTATGCTACAGAACAACCAGATTTATATATTCTGCTCACTAAGATGCTATAGTAAGATTCCATAAAAGTCTCAAAAAAATATTGAAGTAGTAATAATTAGTGCAAATGATAGCCATGTTCTTTTCAACATAAATCCAGTGGGATTTCAGATCTGAATAAGAAGTTAGGCTACTTAGCATGTCCATTGTTGATTAGTCGCTATTGGAATTCATTAGTCATCTTTCATATTTGGAGGGTAGAATCTCATTTATATGCAGTTCTACTTTATACATCAGAAGATCTTGCTTGGTAGTCGCTGGAGTTTTTGTTGCGTAAGCTGCTGGTTGCACATTTCTTTGCCCCACATTCAATTGGCTCTTGCAAACATCCGTTGCGACTTGGTTAGTGTTACTGGATGCTCATAAGAATTGACTTTTAATTAAATGAGCCTCTGTTTTAGCTACTTTCTTTCTAAGTGGTAACAGGACAACTGGCAGTTTTTTCATAAGTTTCTTTTCACAAAGAGTTGCAGTAAGTCTTGGTTTAAAAGTGGTGCCTTGTGGTCAGGAGCACTTAGCTTATTAGCTTTTAATTATAAAAAATGTTTAGGTTATAATCTTATGTTGATATCACAAGCACAGGGAGCTAATAACATTCTTCTTTTGAAGATCGAAGTGTGAACCTGGGGAGAGGGGCTGATATACCAAGAGTTTATTGTTGCTAAACTAGCACAGACCACAAGAAACTTCTTTATATCGGTACATAGACCAAAAGAACCTACAGCTAGGATGTATGAAGATTTTGAAAATCAAAAGCAAAAAAGAACCAAAGTCTCACGTCATCATAGTATATGATAGCAAGAATCAGGCTATGTCAGAAAATATCAGGCGGTCATTAGGCAACACCTACTCACAAAGCTTAGAAATCATTAAGCCTTTCTAACTACTGATGAATCTCAGAAACAAACTTCTTACCAAAGCAAAATTAGATGCACTAATTAATTTTAATTCAAATTTATAGTAGTTATTCCATTCACATTTGATGACCTGACTGTACAGAATGTGGATCCGTAAATCATTTAGAATGCAGCATAGAGGCGAATTCCCTATGCCTTATGGTTCATATACCAATAGAAGTATAAGAGTAATTATAACACGGTATGATATGGTTAACTATTTCAGCATCCTAATAGTTCAATCAGCTTCATCTCTTTGCACAGTGGCGTTTGTTCTGCAAAGCTTCTTTTCTACGTATCAATGATGTTTCCACTCGTTTTTCAATACTTAAGCAGATAACTTGAAAACTACTTAACACCTAGCTACAATAATAAAATGCAACATTTCACACAGCAAGAACAAATGATAGAAGAGAAAGATGGAATGTCCTTGGACCAAAGTACCTAGACAAGAATAATAGGCAAGAAGATACAAATCATTACCTGTACGTATTAGAATCAATAGATTCAAAGCTTTGCAAAGCTCTCTTGTTCAACATTGCCTCAACACCAGATTTATGGCTTAGAAACTCACTTATATGCAATGATTTACTGTCTCCACCAATACTGTCATGTTTGGGGAGCTTAATTCTGTCCTTCTTCCTGGCAGAAAGGTTTGCTCTCTTAGCATCTGAGTTTGACAAGTTAGACTTGATCACTTCGACAACTCCAGCTCTCTTCCTGAAAATCCTCATTTTCATTTAGCCATAATAGGATGAGGAAAAAAAGAAGATTGAACACTCACTAATCAATTTGTTTCTCTTACTTCCCCTCTTAGTCCGTTTAAAAGAAAACGTCTCTTTCCTTTTTTGGCAACTCTCTAGTTCTAACTTTCCACGTGACATGAATAAGACCACAAAATTAAAACGCATTTTCGTACAATCTACATATCTTTAGTTTAAGACCACGTGGTTCAAAAATAAACAGACGGAGTATTTACTTAGATACACAATCATTCCCTTTCAGTCCTTCCTGCCTTTACTTCTCTACTCTTTAATCTCTTATCATTGTAAAACAGACAAAGCATAAGGCTAACAACAAGTCATGAACATATCTCTGAAAAAACATGAAATTTATTGTTCAATAGGAACAAATTTGTGAAATTTTTTCTTGATTCTACTATGACTGAACTAAAATCATATCATTTAACAAAATAACACTAACCCCACCCCATCCCCTCCCACCCCACCAACCCAACAAGAACAATTTCATAATTTAACATGAGCAACATAGTCAAAAATCAAAACAAGATAACACCACTTGGGTTGCATAAGAGTAAATTCACCTTGAAAAGGAGCATTCTTGGAATTGAAATGATGGAATTGAGCAAGACCCATATTGAATAACCCTCATAACTACTTGTTGATGGGCAGCTTCTAAGCTTTAATTTACAAATTAATGTGTAATAGCCATGGCATTGAGGAGAAATTGAAGCAAAGTTATGGTTTTTTTTAAGCTGGGAAAGTGGGTGTGTGCACATTATGTGTTCCTCCATGTTAGGGAGTTTGGCTCATCACCATATCTATCCATTCACGTGTACAACTTGGAAAGAGCAACTCCAAAAAAATAGGGATTTTTATTGGTTTCGATAATAATTTTAAATTAATTTATAAAAAAATTTAGTCTATAATTAAATTTATAGATTTTAAATAAAATTTACATTTTTTCTATTTAATTTATTGGTTAAATCAATTTTTGCACACTTGTAATTGTAAATAGAGGAAATAATTTGTGCGTACATAAGATTTGTAGAAAATTGTGATTCTTTTGCTTTAATTTATGTGATATATGTTTTTAGTCTATTGTAAAGAATTTGATATTATGTTTTTCGAATTCCAAATATTATATTTAGAAAAATAAATTTCTTAAAAATAAGGAAAATGACGATTATAATGAAATGGAGAAAACAAATTATATGAAATTTCATATGGATTATATCTTCTCTGCTCTTCGCACATCATCTTTATCTTACCTAACTCTCGCCCTTTGCATTACCTCTATCATCTCTGATATTTATTTAAATTATATATAAATATATTTAGAATCTAACAAATATAAAAAAGATGTCTTCAACCGTCATATTAGTGTAGAAAAATATACTTTTTCAGATTCTCTATGGGCATTCCAACAGGAATAATTATGTTGTCTAGACGATAAATAATAAGCAATATTACCTAATTAGAAACAGATATTGTATAGTTCAATCCAAATGCACTAAATTTCAAATAAATCATATTTATTGTTTGATCAAAAAATTCGTCTAAAGCCATGTTCTCGAGCCAATTACATCCGTCAAATTGGAGATGATAAGTTTGTCTTTCTATCCTTCTTCACTTAAATGACGATGTTAGTTCGTTTGTCACAAAACTCACCTATTGAGATCGAAATTTATTAAAAAAAAAGTTTTATGTCATGATGTTCATTTACAGCATCCTCTGTATTGAAGATCATAGCAATCAAAATACAAACTAATCAATTCTTATTGAATTTTAATTGCTTTATTTATTATTTTATATTGTAATATTTAATAACTTGAAAAAATTATTATTCTTCTTTACTATGACTATATATAACCTGTCAAATTATAAAAAATAATTTGAAAAGATTTTTCATTGATCAATTTGGACTAGATATCAGCTCAAATTTTGATGGACTAAAATGAATTGAACTGAAATGAGTTGAGCTAATAAATAAGTGGGTCAATAATCAGTTCAAACTTAAATAAATTAGACAAATTATCATTCTCATGAGCTAATTTTGCCGGCAAGAAGGCAGTGTTAGTGGATCAATAACACATGCAATATGATATGACATACTCCCTCCATCCCATTTTATGTGACACTTTTTAGATTTCGAGATTCAAACAAGTATTTTAAACGTAAGTTTTCATAGATCTTTTAAACATTTTGAATTACCAATTGTTGTGATTTATAGTACTTTTACGTAGTTTACAAATATATAAATTTCATTTAATTTTTTTTGAAGATTTCATGCACAAATTCCCGGTCAAACTTATACTGTTTGACTCTCGAAAATGAAAAGTGCCACATAAATTGGGACAGAGGGAGTAATAAATTTTTATACAATTAATAATTATACCTCATTATCAAACAACAACAACAATAATAACATATTCAATGAAATCCCACAATTGACGTGTGTGATAGATGAAAATAGATATAAAAAACTAGAACTAACAAGAATAGAGTAACCAACCTGAATCCTCGAAAATAAGTCAACACTCAACCTACTAACCTAATACGCAACCATCACACCTTCGTATTTAAGATCATATCATAAGTAATCTGATGTTGTGTCATGTCCTGTCTAAAATAGAGACCAATTCACCAGATATGTATTTTCTATAACAACTCATATTCTATTATACTCGCTTTGTCCCAATTTAAGTGAAATATTTCGAATTTCGAGATTCAAACAAGTCTATTTTTGATTGTAAATTTTTCATATATCTTTTAAATATTCTGGATTGTCAATTATTGTGATCTATAGTACTTTTTATGTAGTTTGCAATTATATAAATTTCATTTCAAAAAAATTGAAGATGTCATGCCCAAACTCCCGATCAAACTTAAATTGTTTGACTTTCGAAAAACGAAATGTGTCACATAAATTGGGATAAAAGGAGTATTATTTTTCTATTCCAAAATTCTTAAACGTGAGTGCCAAGAAACAAACCAAGATAGAATCCTAGCCATCCATTTTGATTAACCAAAACTTAATCACAACCGTTAAATTAATTACCAAAAAAACAAAACAAATCACTATATTCAAATTCTATTAAACCCCGCCAAAACCTGTAACAAGAAAAACTAACTTTCTTTCTTACAAGCTCTGCTTCAATGTCGACTACACCCAAATCAGCAAAGAAACTCCCGTTTATCGACCTCCATAGTGACGATGATAAGCTTCGTAAAGCAGCAAAAACTCTCTTGAATTATTCCAAAAAATACTTCCCAAATTCTTTAGTTGAGGAACTTTTCCAAGCAATTGAATGTAGCCCACCAGGATCACGTACAGTATTCTCTATTACAATGTTTTATGCGATGTTTTACCATCCCTTTGGACCAAACTTTCGTTAAGTAAGCGAAATGACTTGAAGATCCGTTTACATGAAAAGGTTTGGCTTGAAACAGATTATGAAACACTCAAGGCTTGTTCATCTTGTGTATCGAGTTTAGCGGGTTTACTTTTCCCTAAAAATGAATGGGTTTTATTGTTTCACTTAATGTTTGAGTATTTGGGTACGAATTCATCGAACGGAAAATTGTGTGTTATGCTTTTATGGAATGAATTGATACCAAAATGTCCTGAGGTTTTTGTACCTTATGTTGATTTTTTGATTGAGGGGTTTACAGACCTTATGCCTACTATATTGGAAGATCATCGATGTAGGGTTGCTGCTGCTAGGGCTTCTGTGAAATTGATTTTGTATTATTCAACTCCCGCGAGTTATTGCAAGTTTTATGGTCTTTTAGAACATGTGATAGTGACTTTGTTTGTGGCAATTGGTGAGGAAGATCTTGTGTGTAGCCTTCTTGAGGATTTGATTGTTTTGGTTGGGGTAGAGACCGCGGTTTTTAAAGTTAATATCGGTGTTGTGGTTAAGTATATGGTGAGGATAGCTGAGAATTCGAAGTTAGGGGAAAAGTTAAGGCAGCTATCTATAGAGTTTATTGTTACTTTGGCTGAGGATAGGGAGATTGGGTGTGGGATGATGCAGATGGTACCAAAAGAAGAAGTTACTAAATTGCTTAGTGTGTTGATTGTGATGTTGGTGCATATTAAAGATGACCCTTGTTGGGGAAATGCAAATAGTGATGATGAAAATGAAGGGCAGTTGAGTATGTGTAGTTATGCTATGGAGAGTTTGGATAGGCTAGCAATTGCATTAGGGGGAAGTGTAATTGTGCCTTGTTGCGCTGTGGGCTTGTTCGACCTCTTTCATGATCAAAATTGGAGAATTCGTCATGCTGCCGTTACTGCAATTGGACTGATTTCAGAAGGATGCTCAAAGGTAGTATTCACTCTTTCTGCTGCGTACACAGCGTACACACTACCTCTCTAGATCCACTTATGGGATTACACTGGATTACTTTTGGCAAATGAAATACGTTTTGAGTTTGATTTCTGGTCTGGAAATTCCCAGGCATTGTTACTGGAGATGGAGAAACTTGTGCAGACTATTGTGAAACTAATCCATGATGAGCACCCTCGAGTATGTTGGGCGAAAATTCGTACAATTGGTCAGCTATCAACATATCTGAGCCCTTGTTTTCAAGAGCAATATCATCAGCAGCTCCTTCGAGCTTTGATAGAAGTATTGGATGATATTGATAATCCCAGGTTGCAGGTACTTTTAATGACATATGACCAATGTATTAACTCTTTGTTCTCTAATTGAGAACTTTTGACATATCAAAACTTATCCATTGCAAGTACATCTGGTTGCCGACTAATACTCTCTTGTGTATAGACACGTGCAGCTTCAGCGATACAGTTGTTCAGTCAAAATTGCAGTGCAGATGTCTTGAAACCTTACCTGCACAATACTGTGCGTAAATTAGTTGGGTTTCTACAGGTAATGTCACCTTTACCAATCTACAACATATTTATTTGTTCACGTGTATAAGAGTAAATGACATAAGCTTTTAACTGTCAAATCTCTGATGTGATTTGAGTTTATATTTAACAAGTAACATGCTGCATATTCCAGAGAGGAACGGCAATGATGAAGGAAGCATCTCTTGCAACTTTAGCCTCTTTAGCTATTTCATCACAGGTACTTTACTTTCAGGGGTTCAAAAAGAACTCTTTTTTTCCAATGCTCGATGTTCTAAACTTCATTTGCTTGGGACACTGCAGGAGGACTCTGCATACTTATACGATTCTCTAATGCCTTATCTGAAAGTTATCTTGGAAACTGTTACTAATGATACAAGTCGCACGCTACTGGCCAAATCCATGGAATGCATTACCATGGCTGCAATGGCTGTTGGAAATCTAGCAATCAATGATTATGTTGAAAAGGTGAATACAATTTATAAATTTCCATTAGCACTTAGCAGGCATTATATAAAAGTGAAACTATCAACATCACTTAAGATCTGAAAATGCATTTACCTTATGTGATATGTTATTTTAGGTCACTGCAGTACTCATTTCACTGCACGAAACTCAAACGGTGATAGAAGATCCAATGAGGAGACTTTTGTTACTAGTATGTTGATACAACTTAGAATTTTGTGCAACTTTCATTTTCTTTTCTTTTCTGTTTTTGGCTAATTTACACTTTGATTCTATGACAGGAATGCGGTAGACTATGTAAATTTTTGGGGGCAGATTTCCTTCCTTATCTGAGTCTTGTCATGCCCGTTGCGCTAAAATCTGCTTTGCTAAAGAACTATTTGAGTGTTTCCGATAATTCAGATACAGATGATTCTGATTATGAAAGGTTGGATCTTTTACTATAACAACTCGTACGAAGTTTTATTTAGATGGATGGCATATGTATTAGTACTATCACTATG